GGGAGCGGGTAGGCAAGCTTCCAGATGGTGCTGTCTGGGGCACTGTGCCTGCATAGCCATGCCATCTTTCTGGCTCAGATCTAGATCCCACTGCCAGGTGGAGGATGAAGGAGGAATTGCACTTTGCTTTAGATGAGTGCATAGCAGTCTGCATGCTTAATATCCACACACGGCTCTGAATATGGTGCCCCTTGGGACCAGGGCAGAGCTCCAGCACACCGAGCGTGTGTGGCCTAGTGAACAGGTCGTTGGACTGGCAGTCAGTCGTGTGATTGCAGGACTCTGTAGGTCAAGCAAACCTGAGGAAAGACTGCAAGGCTTCCTGGGCAATAAGTCCAGCCAGGAATCTTAGTTCCCAGAGGAGAATGGGCAGGTGAGGCATCTGACCCTCAGCTCCTGTAGCAAAGACAAATGGATGCTGAACTGACTCGAGGCAAAATACTTGGGTTCACCCAAAGGCAAACTGACAAAGCATTAGCAAAACTGAATCTTTCTTCCTTCAATTGAAATTGCCTGCCATTTTGGTCAGCTCCCCTTTTCACCCCCCACCCCACCAAAGTTCCCAACTTGGTCTAACGTTGAATACTAATGTTGCCCTTCTTAGTTCACTGATGATGACTAATCTGATCCTGTTCCAGATGTGCTGTGACAGACTCCCGTTGCTGTCACATGCTTATCAGTGGGTGCATCTGCACGTCCGCTTTAATACGCAGTAGATGATTAAACTGCGCATTAAAGCGAAAAAGCCAGTGATGTTATGCTAATGTGCAGTAAAATAGAATACTGTGCATTGTGTCACTGAAAAAACATGCAAATGCTCTACTGTGCATTAGTGCAGCCTACCTCACGTTGGAGGTACTAAATTGAATGCACGTTAGAAAAGGCACATTAATGCAAGTGTAGATGCACCCTGTGTGGCATTAAAGAAAAACTGAGAAAAGTTGTCCCTTACTAACAATTCATCTGTCCCACTGTTAGTTTCCAATTGAATGTCATCCAATTGCTCCTCAATGCAAAATGCAGACGTGGTCCACCAAGGAGGCTTTTCAACCCAGGACTCCCCACACTCCTCCACCATATCAGGCTTCATCTGTGAACAACAAGCCCTAAATTATCTTCCGTGCCCACTGCCACAACCCTCGCTCTTTAAACTATGAGATCCAGTCTTTAAAGTGTGAGTTCCCCCATCTTGGGGTCCCATGTGGACAAGGGTGGCTCCCTGCAGCCCTCTGTCTGGCGGCTGAGCTGGAAGAAAGGCCATCTTTTAGACATACCTCTGTTGCCAGTGGCTTTTACAGTACCTGCTATTGAAGTACCTCCCAGCACCTAAGAAGCTTTCACCAACTGGGATGCCCAATATGGGAGTAAAATAATTGTGCTTCACACTTACATCAAATATGTGGGGCTAGAAGGCCCTCAGGAGGTCATCTACTCCAACCCCCTGCTCGGGGCAGGATCATCCATGTCTAAACCATCCTGGCCAAATGTTTGTTTAACCTGTTCTTGAGATCTTCCAGTAAAAAGGGATTTCACAGCCTCTCTAGGGAATCGGTTCCTCCTACTATCCAATCTAAATCTCCCTATTCATAATGTAAGCCCATTGCTACTTGTTCTGTCCCTTAGGGACGTAGCGAATAATGGATTGCCATCCAGTTTACAACCACTGCTTTTGCATTTCAAGACAGTTATCAAAACACCATCAGTTTTCTCTCGTTTAGGTGAAATAAGCCCTGTGCTTCCATGTTTCCTCATATATCATGTTTTCTAGGTGTCGAATGGCTGGGTTTTTTTTCTTTTTTGCTTTCCTTTGGACTCTTCCACTTTGTTCCCACCTCTTATCTTAAGCATGGTGCCCAAAACTGGACATAGTACTCCAGATAAGGTCTCATTGAGTACTGCATACAGTGGAAGAATTGCTTCCCATGACTTAAGAGTCATAGAAAACAAGGGTTGGAAGGAACCCTGGGAGGTCACATCTAGTGAAACCCCTGCTCAAAGCAGGACCAGTCAAGCCAAGCCTTAAAAACCTGCAAGGATGGAGATTTCGCCACCTCTTTAGGCAATCCGTTCCAGTGCTTTATCACCTTGTGAGAAAGTTTTTCCTAATATCCAACCGAAACTTGCCTTGCTGCGACTTGTATATGACTTTTATTAATACCTCCCAGCATGCTATTAAAATACTCCTTTTGCAACAGTATTTCAGTGTTGATGCATTCAATCTTCTATAACCCCCAGGTCCTTTTCAACTGTACTACAGCCTAGCCAATCATCTCATTTCATTTTTGTTCCTTCCTTGCATGGTCCTTGTCACCTGCAAGACAGCATTACTACCATGGCACCATGGGCAAGTATTAAACCCATTTTCCAAATGTGTAAATGGAGGCTCAGAGAGGTTGCATGATCTGCTCAGGGTCGCTATAATGAGCCTCCATCTGGCAAGAAGCGCTGTTCAGCACTATTATACAGCTGGGATTCCAGGCAAAGACCCGCAAGCCCACGTGCCGGTCTTCAAACCTCACTCCCCCATCTCAGTCCAGCTTAAGCCAACTAAAGTACGGCAATGAGATGGCACATATTAGTTTAGTAAAGTCTTTTATTCCAAAAATGAGAAGCAAATCACAAGAATCCAGTAAAAATCTAGGCTAGAGGTAGATAAGTATAAGGATCGCGTTGCATGTCACCCAGAGTATACACGGAAGGAAATGACTTGATTAAAAAGAATTACAGGAAAAACTTAATTAATTTATTTATTTTTATAAAAAGAAACCTAGGAAAGAACGACAAGTAAGACCACCGACTCGTATGCTAGATTTCGGAGAGAAGAAGTGCGTTCCCAGGTGAGGTCCACAGTTCTCACTAGTTCATTAATATTTTTCAGTGATACAATCTGGATTATAATAAATAAAGACTTAAAAATATATTGGGGAAATTGAACACCCTCCTCTCTCTCTCTCTCTCTCTCACACACACACACACACACACACACACACACACACACACACACACACACACACACACACACACACACACACACACACACACACACACACACACACGCGCGTGTGCGCGCTGTGTGAACTATACTGGCCTCTTCACAAAGCTGAAAATCTATCTCCCAGTCTCAGCCAACTTCACCTTTTCTTCAAGGGGCTTCTCTGCATGAGGGTGGCAGCAGGCCTCAGCATGCCCCACACACCTCTGAGGCTGCTCTCAAGTTCCCAGTCTCCTGGGAACCTGAAAGCAGTCACGGGGCCTAAGCCTGGAACAGCTTTGCCAGCAAATATCCCGGTTGAGAGCATGCCTGTAGATGCAGATGGATGGGGCTCGCATGGCGTGGGACATGCTTCGGCCTCTCCTGGCATATGCTCCTGCCCTGGTGTAGACGTCTCTCTTCCGATAGCAACAGGGCTAGTGATAATGCGGAGTAGTTCGTTGGCACTGCAAACCTAAAGAGCCTTTTCGGTGACGTTAGCAATGTTGCAGCGCTCATCCCTCTTCTTCCTTTGCGCTCAGGCTGGTGGCTACCTGTAAAAAGAAGGCTACGTTCTTGTGCAAACTACTGATCCTACAAACCATTCGCAGAAGGGTGAGCCTGTGCGACACAGGTGGGCCACTTTTGGAAGTCAAGGCACGGTGAGATCCTGCCGTCCTTTTCAGGAGCTCGAGAAGAGCAATAGATGCAACTCGTGGTGGTTGCTAACCACTCCAGTGAATCTGTTCCCAGCAGCTGGGCAGTTTAGAAGACTATGACAGGTCTGATCGGTACGGGTGCTATTTGGCAGGAGTGAGACCTTATTTTTGCTGTTGTCCTTTTTACTAGACGTCCTGTCTCTGGATGCTTTCACCTTATGGTGTTGCACCCATGCATTCCTCCCTCCTCTCCCAAATAAAACTTACTTCTTTAGAACGAGGCCCGCTTCTCAAATGTATTTGCCAATGTGGCTTAAACAATCCCACAAACCTCACAGAAAGCTCTGAGCATACTCCTGCAGGTGTCTTTAAAAAATAGCTCTTCTGCTTTTGTGTTGTTGCTATCCCTAGCAACATTTGTAGGAAAACAGCCTCTTTGCTTTCTTAAGAATTCGTCTGCTTCTGTTACTTTGTCCCTCCTGAAGTCACACTTTTCTAGAGCTGTCAAAAAAAATCCCTCGACAGCCTTCACGAAGAGTTTTGTATGGTTGGGTTTTTGTGATCACTGATGTTTGGGAAGTGTCTGTTCCTGATCTGCACGCCTCATGTTTGCAAACATTTGCTATGCATCATTTTGTTTCTCTCCTGTTTGGAAACACACTCGCTATTCTGATCAGAGGGCGCACGTTATCCCATGTGATTTGTGATTAATCACACGCACCAAATGAACAGTTCCCAAACACTCTGTAACTCAAATATATTCGTGGCAGCTGGGGAGGCTTTGCAAGATGCTAACCGAATTATAGAAGTCAGACTTCATTATAGAAGGGAAGGAACCAGGTTACAGATTTGGGATAACGTATTCATACCGCTGTGGTGCCCAGAGATTTGGCATAACAGGTAGGGGGATTGCTTACTGAGGCTCCAGGATATATGAGATAACTCTGCATCTCTACTTTACAAACTGAGAAGCACAGTAGAGCCAACCAAGTATTTTTGGTTGAAGAATATTTGGCACAAAGTTGCTTTTTCACCGCCCAAATTGTGGAAAACACCTTGTTGTTTCAATCTGCTTGATCTTTGCATGGATGTTTCAGGGGTTTTTGTTTCCATTGACACCCTTGGCTTACTATCGAGATGTTCTGTTGCCAGTTTCCCTGGGTTGGGACTGAATAAAAGGGAAGGGAATGATTTTTAAATTTGTTAGCAAGCTCTGGAATTAGGCGGACGTTGCACAGGCTACCAGGTAAAACAATTTAAAACCTGGCCTGGGGTACGTCCTTTTACAAGCAATTAATAATTTCAACATCTTGAGTTCTCTGTGACAGCAGAGCTCTTTGCCATGGTTAGCAGAATAAAACTGACTTTTCGCAGAGGCTGAAAGAGCAGCATTAGCTACAAGCAGAAGAATGGCAGGTACCATAAATCTATGAAGAAATCAAGGAAGGAGATGTACCATTGAGGCCCTGACCCTGCAAATGCTTTCATGCTTGTCTAACTCTTAAGCCCCTCTAATATTGTTCGTGTGCTTAAAATGATGTTTGCCGCTCAGCTGGACCGCTGGGGGTTGGACAAGAAGAGCTCAGAGGTCTCTTCCAACCACAGGATCCTGTGCTCCGCCATGCTGGCATGATTGGGAAGGAATTTAAAGCAACATTTTAGGGATACCAGGGAACTCTCTCGGCATGTATGCAGCTGTGGAAGAGTCCCTGGAAGCAAATGTCCCTTGGGACATTCCCTCTGACCCCATTGATGCGTGATGACTTCAGGAGGCCAGTATGTGAACTCTTAAGGAACAAAGATCCTGCCTCTCATGCAAGTCCTAACACTTTTAACATGAGACAGCAGAAGACATAGGACACCAGTGGGATTCTTTCAAAACTGTTTCCCAAACCACTGTGACCTCTGCCACCATCTCCGCTGCACGGGGGATGACGGTGAGAGCAGAAGATCTATTGGGATGGCCCAAAGCTGACAAAAAGATGGGGAATGTGTCCTATATACCACTGCTCCCTTCAGCCCTGAGTGGAAGGAAGATCCTCCATGTTGCGGGGACTCAGTGGGTTTTTGCAGGCTCGTGTTCAGCTGAGACGGGTGGAGCTAGGAGACATGGGCTTTACCTAGCAATCTCAGCCACATTCGTCCATAGGACTAGAAGGCAATGGAAGGATAAGTGCTCAGCAAGACCTGAAGCCATGAAGGGGAAGAGCGCGTGGTGGGGATGGGCAACCCCTCCTTGCATATGCCCTGGGGTCTGCAGGCTGGGCAGCGTCATTCCTCTGGGATTGCATTGTTGGAGCGACTAGGTCTCAGGCCTGTGTCACGTATTTCCTTCTCAGAGGGGTTTTATGCATGGCAGTGCAATGCTATGGTTAGGAATTCAAATGCAAGGCAAAGACCAGTTGCAGGGCCTTCCAGCAGCCCTAGCAATGCTCCCTCGAGTACACCCCATACTCAGTAAAATGACAGTAAAATGGCTAGGCGCAGGAGTGCCAGAGCTATGTTTAGGGTGGGAAGCACAGAGCAGATGCTGCAAGGTATCACTCGGCCTGTTTCCAATAACATCATTCCACTAGCTCATATAGAGCTGAAGGTCTGAAGCATCTCGGGCCGGCTTTCCCCCTGCATTACTCCAGGTTTACACCTTGCACCCCCCAGAAGTAACCTGGAAGAAGGCAGTGGCCAGACAGGCTGAGGAACAGCTGTGTGTTTCAATTCCCGACCATAGCATTGCGCGGAAGCTGTGTCAGCAGTGACCTGCCTTTATTTAAAAAAATAATAACATCAGTGATCAATAAAAACCACGCGGGAGTTTTTTTTAAAGTGTGATCATCAGACTTCGAAATAAACACCGTCAGCTTCTAGCAGGCGCTCTTTTTCCAGGGCCCCGCTCCTGCAAGGTGGTCCACACTTGAGAACATCTGCATCCCCTATACAGCCTCACTAATTAAATAGGGCTCTACATGAGCCCGGGGGTCCACCCTTATGGACACCTTTATCCGTGTCGTCTTCCTCTCTTTATTGCTCTGGGGAATGAAGGATGCAGATGTTCTCCCCAAGTCTACCTGGGAGTCAGGAGGGCAGGCTGAATATGAATTAGTGCTTCTGGTGCCTGCAGCCGAGTGCTCGGGGATGGGGGCTTACCCAGCTTCCACTGAAGCCCATGGGGAGAGTCAGTGTTGCTGACTGTCCTAATATTTGGTGTTTTTCCCTCCCTTAAATCTCCAGCTCCTGGAGTCAAGTGCATCTATCAGAAATCACAGATTTCATGTAAAATAATAAGTCAGCTTCTCTCCCACGTGGGGGCAGAGAAAAATTGTAAGCACGATCCCCTGAAGGCTCCTAAGCCAGAAAGCAAATAAAGACAACCCCCAGCGCATTGTTCTTTCGCCCTGAAACCTCGTGGGTTGAAGACAACCGTGCTCTTGTCTTCAGGTTGGCTTGACTTGAGCTCGCTCGGGGTTGGCAGCGCCGGGGGTGGACTCTGGGCTCCCGTTCCTGCATGAGCTACTGGATGACATTTTTTGAAGCACATCCTGCTCTGCTAGGGAGCCAGTCATCACGGGACCGGCAGGGTCTCGTAGCCATCTGCATTGACCTCCGTCTTTACCACGACGACGGGCCCGTTGTGCTCGCCCGTCTGCTGCTCCCTGCCTGCGCTGGGCCTCTCTGCCACGTCCTTCCCATCCGCGGGAGGGTCCTTCTTCTTCAGGTGGTTCCTCTGGTGCCTCTTGAAATGCCCCACCGTGGTGTAGCTCTGCCCACAGTCCGAGCAGATGAAGGGACCCCGGCGCGCGTGGGTCAGCTGGTGCTTCATGAGGTTGGCTTTCTGGGAGAAACTTTTGCTGCACTGGGCACACTTAAAGGGCACCTCACCCGTGTGGATCCGCTGGTGGGTGATCAGGATCTCTTTCCTCTTGAAGTCCTTCCCGCAGGTGTCGCATTTAAAGGGCCGGTCCTCGGCATGGGAGGGTTGGTGCAGGAGCAGCTGGGCCCGGTTGGGGAAGACGTGCCCGCATTTGTTACACCGGTTGGGCTCGTACTTGGTGTGGACCCGCTGGTGGGTGATGAGGGCGATTTCCTTGCGGAAGCCGCGGCCGCACACGGGGCAGGGGAACGGCCACTCCTCCCCGGTCTCGGCCGTGTAGTTCTCCCCGCGCTTGGAGTACTTGTAGAGCTCCTGGGCCGGCTTGTGCTCCCGGGTGTGGACCCTCTGGTGGGTGGTGAGGGCGATCTTCTGGGTGAAGGCCCTCCCGCAGGCGGTGCACTGGAAGGGACGTTCGCCCGTGTGTGTCCGGCGGTGCACGATGAGGCGGGACTTGTCGATGAAGCTCTTGGGGCAGTCGGCGCACGGGAACGGGCGCTCGCCCGTGTGGATGCGCCGGTGCACCACCAGCTGCGCCTTCTGGGTGAAGCTCTTCCCGCACTCCTCGCACCCGAAGGGCCTCTCGGCCGCGTGGAGCCGCTGGTGGCTGGCGAGGTTCTCCTTCGTGCTGAAGCATTTGCCGCACTGGCTGCACCCGTGCTCCTTGCCGCCACTGTCCTCAGGGGTGCTCGCAGCCCGCTCGCCCTCCGGGCGCCCATCCAGCTTGGCCCTCTCGTGCACCCGGTGGTGCTTGACCAGGGCGATCTTCTGGCGGAAGCCTCTGCCGCAGACGGCGCAGGGGAAGGGTCGGTCCCCGGTGTGGATGCGCCGGTGCACGGTGAGCCGCGACTTGTCGATGAAGCGCTTGCCGCAGTCGGCGCACGGGTAGGGCTTCTCACCCGTGTGGATGCGCTGGTGGGTGACCAGCTGGGTGCGCTGGGTGAAGCGCTTGCCGCACGGCCCGCACGCGTAGGGCTTCTCCCCGGTGTGGATGCGCTCGTGCTTGGTCAGCTCCCCCCGCTTGCTGAACGCCTTGCTGCAGACGCTGCACCGGTGCACCCGCTCCTCTGCGTGGGCCCGCTGGTGGTTGGCCAAGTTGCCTTTCTTAATGAACGTCTTGCCGCACAGGGCACACGTGTACACCGCGCCTTTCCGCGGCACCGCTGTGGAGGAGTCCACCCGGTGGCCACCGCCGGCCCCGTTTCTGGCAGGGGGCTTCCCCTCCGTGCCCCCGTGAGCTCCAGCCTCGCTGAGGCTCCCCTTAAAAGCCCCCTTTCCCCTGTCATGGACCCTCTGGTGGGCTGTGAGGCCCACCTTCTGGCTAAAGCTCTTCCCACACTCGCTGCACATGTGGGGCCCCTCACTCAAGTGGTGGCATTTCTGGTGCCTCAGCATCTCCCCTTTGCTGCTGAAGCTGCCCCCGCACTGGGCGCAGACGTGGGCGCGCACGCGGGTGTGGGTCCTTTGGTGGCGGATGAGGTGGATCTTTTGGCGGAAGCCCTTCCGGCACTCGCCGCAGCGATACGGCTCCTCCCCGGTGTGGATTCGCTGGTGGGTCACCAGGACGGACTTCTTCTTGAACGCTTTCCGACACGTGCCGCACCGGAAGATCCTCCCCCCATCCGGCGTGGACTCGGGCACGATGAGCCGGGACGCCTCGCCGGTAATGGACCCGGGCCCGCTACGCCGGCGCGCCCCGTCCCCGCTGTGCACCCTCTGGTGTTTGATCAGGGTGATCTTCTGGCGGAAAGCCCTGCTGCAGAGCTCGCATGGGAAGGGGCGGTCATCGGTGTGGATGCGGCGGTGGGCGACCAGCTGGGACTTGTCGGCGAAGCTCTTCTGGCAGCTGCCGCACGCATAGGGCTTCTCGCCGGTGTGGACTCTGCGGTGGACGATGAGCTGCGACTTCTGGGTGAAGCTCTTCCCGCAGTCTGGGCACGGATACGGCCTTTCCCCGGTGTGGATCCGCCGGTGCTCCTTCAGCTGCGACTTGGTGATGAACCTCTTGCCACAGTCGGCGCATGGGAAGGGTCTCTCCCCTGTGTGGGTCCTGAGGTGCTTGGTGAGGTCCACCTTCATCCTGAAGCTCTTCTCACATTCAGGGCAGGAGTGGGGCTTCTCCCTCCTTGGGGCCTCCTCAGGCGCTGAGAGGTCTCCAGCTGGATTTCGGACTTCCTTGCTGCTCTCCTCTTCCATTTTCACGGCCTGCCGGGTCATCAGCTGAGCTGCCGGGTCAATGCTCCTGTCCTGCTTGTGCCCGTCGGCCAGCACCTCCTCCTTGTGGGTCTTTTGATGTGCGGCCAGAACACCCTGATGGTTAAAACTGTCCCCGCAAATAGTGCAGGTGTACGACTTCTCCGGGGGGTGTCTGATCAGATCTTCCGCCTCCAGCTTAATTACCGCCGGGTTCTCCATCCTTTGGTTTCTTGGAAACTGGGCCTCAGCTGTCAGGGACTTCATTCAAGGGTCCTTCTTACCGTGGCCTCCAACTCTCTTGGCCTGCCATGGCTCAAAGGGATTTGGGACTCACCGGAAGTGCTGACGTCGGTTTTCATTATTGTTTTCATGGAGAATAGTTCTTGCTTCCTTTCCCAGATCCTTAAATCGCTGGGTGGAAAAAAAGAGAAAATGAGTCAAATGCTGTTTCGAAGGCAGATGGGCAAAGAAGAGTCAGGGCTGTGGTCGTACATTTAGTTCGGTAAATTTAATGAAGGAACAAACCAAGGCAAACCTGTTTGTTTTCAATTGTACTATAGCAGCTCTATTGCAGACAGTCGGGATCCCGCGGGAGTGCTTGAATGGGCTTCTACTGCCCCGGTTTTTATAGGAGGGCAATGCACCAGGCTGCGATTCCTCTTGCTGTGCACTGCTATGGCAGCATTGTAGCCAAGCACTTATTTCAAAGAAGTAAGCACTGACTCCACACGGGCCCTTTGGGATGGCGACTGTGCAGGACTAAGCACTGCTACCTCAAGTCCCTCCATACTGACGGGACGTGAGAGCGCTGCATCTGCATCTGCTCCCCACTCTGCAGACGGGAGCGGTGTCATGAGGCTGTTTGAGAGAGGAGGGCCAGGACACACTGGGCTGCCCATGCCCCTGGGACTAGCAGTCCTGCTGCATGCGTGGTGGCATGCAAAGGTGAAATAGGTAGCACACAGCTGGATGGGCCAAAGGATTCACTTCCCAGGGGCCACAGGAGGGCATATGCTGTAAGCCCAGGTGAAGCTGCCTCCATGCCTCTCTATTCACCTTTGTGTGGCTATTCATCTGGCCGGCGGAGCAGCGCAGAGGCCTGGGGAGGATTGCACGGCGCGGCTTCGTCTCCACTAGCCGTGTTTCTCATCACATGCCACGGCAAGGAGCCCAGCAGCAATGTATCTTAGTGGCAAGCATGCAAGACATGCTAGCCCAAATGGCCCTGCACCGCTTCTTGCGGTAAGTCACGGGAACACTGCAGACCCCCAGACCCTAGTAGAACTGCGTGGCGTGCTGAGCTTCATCCGTGCTTTTGGTCACACCCCTCTGCCTGCGGGTTTGTTTTTAATGCACACCAAAAAACCCCCAAAGACTAGCAACAGCGGGCAGCAAGCGAGAGCAAGGGCCAGAAGCCTGGGCCGTCTCTCAGCTGCAAGCACAACCCACAGTAAGCAGAAATGAAACTAGCACTTACGCCCCCACTGTGCCCAGTCTGGCTAAAAGCAGTCGCACAGCAGGCACCCAAGTGATTCAAAGCAAGGGTGGAAGAGGCTGGGGTAGCTGGGGGCCACTGGCTTCTGGGACACCGAGGATAACTCGTTCCTCCTCCCTCCTGGGAGCTAAGTGGGAAACTAAGTGACTTACCAGCTGATAAAAAAGACGGAGCCCAGACAGGGGACGGGGGAATGACCCCTTTCCCCCTCCCTCTGCTGAGAACAGGAGCTGGAGGAGTCATCCCATTCACCAGCAGTAGTAGGCTCTTATCCTCTTAGGTCAGTGGTTCTCAATCTTTTCTAAGGCTCAAGCCTTCCTTCAGAAAATGTCAGCTTCTAGCTTTCACCTGTTCATTCACAGCTGCACAGAAGTTTAGGGCCGGGAGGGACCTCATGAGATCAGTTCTTGACTGTGGAGAGCGATTCTACTCAGAAAGACCCCGGCAGGGCACAATGTCGCAGACACTATGGATTCCTACTTGAAAGCTCGGGGTTTGTCTTGTGAATCACATGCAGGGGTTTGCACACCTAATGGTGCTAATATTGTGCACCACTCAGCGGCACCCTTAAAAGGATCTCACGCCACCTCAGGGTGCTTCAGCACCCTCCTTGAGAATCACTGGGCTAGATGCATCAGATACCTGCTGAACCAGGTGGGAATGATACCCTGGAAAGAGCCGCTCTTGCAGGCAGTGGGTTCAACGAGGTGTCGGGGGGGGGTGTCTACACGTGTACATTTAATGTGCATTAGTTCAAATTAAGGCACATTAAGGGTGCGGGTCTACATGTGCATGCCCTTAATGCACCTTAAAAATGATGATTTAAGGCTATTTGAGCCTGCATAAAGCAGGTATCAAATGTATGCGCGGATACCTAAATCACATTAGTAAACATGTAGATGCACTAATGCGCATTAAAGCAGTTGTGTCCATTGACTTGGGAGTAACTTGAGTCCCAAGTCAGTCCGCATGCCCACATTAATGTGCATTAGCATGTGCATGTGTGGACGTGCTCTGGAAGCCTAGCTGGGCACCTCACTCCTCAAGAGTGCCACACTCCTTGGATCCCTTCTCTGGATGGTTCATATCTAAGACCATGAAGGAAGAGCCCTTCCCAGTCTGCGCTGCCAGGTGCACTCAGGCGGCTCCTCTGTCGAGCACCAGCTGTCTCAACTTCCCCCTCCTGATCTTGTTTGTTCACCTGGTGATAAGCCTCATGCCACATAGGTCACTCCATGGTGGAGCACTCGGGGACCTTCGCACAAGCATCTGGGATCCCGGAGCGTGGGGGCCACCTTTGCCCTGCAAACTTGTGTTGTTTGTGGTCTGCTCCCCTCCACCCCAGAAGCAGCTGCATTTCACCAGCGCGGTGGGAGTTTAGTTTGGGAAGCATTTGTGGGGGCAATCGGTGTTCGGAGCTCCATCCCCAGTGGCTGGATCACTCGATCTGCTTTCTTGCTCACTGTGTGACTGCTCTCATCTCCCTTCTCCCTCTCTCACACTCACACTCACACGCACCCACACAGCAGCTCCGGCAAAGCACATCACCTTTGTTTGATGCCTGAGACTCCCCCGCTGCAGCCGGCGCTCGCGGGGCAGGGTGGAATTTCCCCAGAGCATCGTTTCAGACTGCCCTTCCAAGCTCAGTTTCCCTTTCTGTGCTTTTCTTTTTCTATCTCTTTTTTTTTTTAACATACCCAAACCATAAGGAGGTTCTGCATTTTCACAGGGAAGCAGAGAGCTGGGAACCCCGGCTGTGATTCAGCTTGCAAAATCCCAGCAGCCGGGTAAGGGGATGGATTCCAAGCCGCGAAATGTTTCTGCCTTAAAACCAACCTTTTTCAACACTTCGGTTTCACGGCAGCCACCAAAACTTCCAGCCATTTCCTGGTTCAGCCCGGTGCCTGTCCTGGGCTGCTGCAAACATGCCCAGAAGTTTTCTGCGAGGGTCTCCCCAAAAATCTCAAAGTAGCCCCGTCCTTACCTGCGTCTCCTTTCCTTCAGTGGGAAGGTTTGAATTCAGTGATTGTCATTGCCCAGATTTCCCCCTTTCCACACACTTTTGTCTCATCATCTTCTTCTCCCACTTACTTCTCTAATGTCTGCTGTGCTGACTCACAGGAAGTCTGTGTCAGTGATGTAGAAACTACCGGGGGGAGGGAAATGGGGGAAAGAGGAGCTGATGCCGGGAGAAGAGGGGTTAGGAAGTGGGAAGACCTGGCAGAGTCTGAACGGGCTGCAAGAGAGGCACGCCGCTGGGCCAGCCAGCCTGGGATGCCCCCTGGTACCACCACCTCCGCTCAGATGCTGCTCGCGGGGGGCATGCTCGCTGGCAAGGCCCTGCTGGGAGATGTAGTCCTGATGAGGCAGGGAGCCCACCGCTTGCAGTTTTGCGTTAGAGGCTTGGCAGCTTGTGGGGGAAGTGTCAGCCCAGGCAGGAAGCGGGCTTAACCAGCTGCATTAGGAGTGCCCCAGGCCTGTTTCAGCTGCTGGAGCTGCATGCAAAAAAATGTATCCTGTATCGGCTTGTTGTTGCGGGGTCAGGTGTAGGGCTCCGGCTGGAAGGAGACATGGCCCTGCAAAAGGGAAGTTCTCGCAGCCTGAGGGCTGTGTCCTGCAACCCCTTTCTCATGAGAGCAAGCTTTTGAAAGCTGCCTGGGTAAGGGGTGAGACTAATAATGTTTGGAGCTTTTACAGGGCTTGAAGCACTTTGCAAAGGGGGATGGGGAAAGGTTGGTGGAGGGACATGAACAAGGTCAGCCAGTGAGTCAGTGGCAGAGCACAGATCCTCAGCCTCATCTGTGGGCAGGGCCGGGGCATTGCATCACGGGTCATGGGTATCTAGGAAATCCTTTGACAGAGCAAGGAGCAACGGTCTGAAGTTGCAGCAAGGGAAGTTTAGGTTGGATATTAGGAAAAACTTTCTCACTAGGAGAGCAGTGAGGCACTGAAACGCTTTACCCAGAGAGGTGGTGCGCTCTCTCTATGCTTGGAGGTTTTTAAGACCTGGCTAGGACGATTTAGTTGGGGCTGGTCCTGCTTTGAGCAGAGGGTTGCACGAGATGTGACCTCCTGGGGTCCTTTCCAACCCACATTTTCTGATTGTATGATTTCCTGGCAGTGACTAAGGGGACACCGCAGGGCAAGGGCAGAGCTGGGAATTGAACCCAGGTGTCCTGCAGGGTCACTTTGGACAGTTTCCTGTCTAGGCCCCCTGCTTTCCTAGCAGGCAATATTGCTCCCTAAAAGCTTGATCCACCAAGTGGAATGACTGGCTGCCAAGGGCTTTGGATGAGCCCCAGGTGGGCGGGTTCAGGCCCCCCCTCCTCACACAGGTGGGTGCGAGGTTGCACTCCTGCAAGACTTGGGCAGCTGCTGAACTTTACACCTGGGAGTAATCCCACTGAAAGCGACTGGGTGACTCAGATGTGTAAAGTCGAAGAACCAAGTCCATGTGCAGGACTGGGGCTTGCCACCGTCTCCCTGCAGGGGAAGGGCCATCTGGAAGCCCCTTCCCACCTCCAGCTGTAGGAGTCCTACAGCCCCGAGTGTGGGAACGGCGATGAAATCCTGCCTGGGAATCTCGGCTTTCACGAACTAATCAGTCTGTTTCTAGCTCTCATGGTTGCTGGGGAACATAAAACAAGCGCAGCCACCAGCAGCACGGGGAAAGCACCCCTAATTACTACTGTAGTGCTTTGAGATGGGTTTTTTCGATGACGGAAACAGATTATCTACCGATTCCCGCCGGCGCCAAGAGGCCATTCGTGTAAGCGGTGCTCGCTGAGAGTCTGGGATGTATTATCAGGCCCTGCAGATCCAATTGTTGCAGGATGACTGGAAGGCAATGATTCACTGTGCTAATGTTAATGTATGTGCCCGAGTGCATAACGACAACTTTAATTTGTAGCCTGCTACCTCTGGCACTGCACTGGGACTCGGGAATCCTGGATTCTCTGGGTCTGCTACTGGGCTTTCTTTTGTTTCCCTGTCTGTATACGGTGCCCATGCCTTCTGTATAATGGGAACAAGATTACCAACCTTCTGGGTAAAGCACTTTGGGATCTACAGATGAAAAATGCTAGGAAAGATTTTTGTTGCTCATTTCTATTGATTCCAGATGCCACCAAGAGTTTTACCGAGTCTGTCGTAGTCCCTGGTGGTGGGGTTCTTCTTGCAGCCCAGACATCTGGTGTCTGTTTGCTGCTAATTTTTTCAATGCCGGTGATGTCAGGAGGCTGGAGGGAAAGAAGGAGATAGCTTTTCTGAGCCGGGGCATTGCAATAAGCATAGCCTCTCGCTCCAGGGACCAGCTCCTAGCACTATCGTTTGCACTCCTCATTTGTGAAAGATTTCCTCTATATAAAAAGCTTTGGCCAAAGTTCTCTTTTCCCCCCTTAAGTCCCCAGTGTTTCGATCTCGCTTTCTAGAATTAGTTAAAAAAGAAACAGATCCCTGAATCTTTGTTATTAGGATGAACTCACATCTAGCAGATGATTCCAGGATCTTTGGGGAACGATGTTTTTGCTTTTAGAGGAGCAGACTGGGAATCGCTGAGTTGGGCACGGACACGAGCGTCTCACGTGATCTTGCATGGAGCCAGTTCTGTCCCGCAGGGTCCCCATCCTTAAAACTGGGCTACCATTCCCAAGCCTTTTCACTGCAGGTCTACAAAGCCGGTTTAGAAGGACACTTTTGTCATTAGCTGATTTTTGAAGAATTGCTCAAAGCAGCCTAAAGTCTGTGTTTTCCTTTTGACAACAAAACCAGCTTTCTCGGCCTGCCTGTATTTTGTACTCAACTCTTTAGCCTGTTCCTTCCCCTCTCCCCTTGCCCATAGTATTACTTTATTAGTCCTCATCTTCATTAAAAATTACCCATAGGGATCCACATAATCAAATACTTTGCTTAAGTCGGACAGATGAGCTGTACTTGCTGTCTACTCTACTTAAGTCAGACAGATGAGCTCTACCTCTATCTAGAAAATCAGGTGTCTTACCAAGGAAGGCATCAGTTTGCCAAGATCTACCTTTGGCAAACCCAAAGTTGCATTTTACTCAGTTTTCCATGTGCTCAGTAATGCTTTCCTTCCAAATCTCTGCAGAAGCCTAGTGTGGTACTGCAGTAATGGGCCTCGATTTGTCCCTCCTTCCCCCACCAACTTCTCAAATGAAGTTACAACCATACGTGTGAAGGGAGCTGCAGTTCTGCATGGTTTTCTTTTCTTTTCCTGTAAGCTTGAACATTTTCGGGGGGTGGGGGAGGAGAGGGATATTTTTGGTCCCTTGACTCCTAGTAACGTGCAGAATTGGCTGTCCAAGCAGACCCGTGTCCAACCTGGGCTATACAGACAGTCATGCTGCTCTCGCAGTCTCTCAGGTAGGTGAATGTGCCCCCAGTGCAGCTGCACACTCCTGCTGGCATTAAGACGCCTTATACAATCACGGACAACGAGGGTGGGAAGGGACCTCAGGAAGTCGCATCTAGTGCAGCCCCCTGCTCAAAGCAGGACCAGCCCCAACTACATCATCCCAGCCAAGGCTTTGTCTAGCCGGGCTTTAAAAACCTCCAAGGATGGAGAGCCCACCACCTCTCTGGGTAACCCGTTCCACTGCTTCACCGCCCTCCTAGTGAGAAAATTTTTCCTAATATCCAACCTAAACCTCCCTGGCATTACCTTTCTGCTACATGTATCATGGTGTTTTTAGGTATCCAGATTGTAGCCATATTGAACTAGAGGAAAAGGCAATCAGGACTCGTAGCAGAGATGATATCTTTTATTAGACCAACAAGATTTTTGCAAAACAAAGTCTTTAATTGGTGTTTTTATGCCTTCCTCAGAGGCACCGGGTATTGGCTGCAGCCAAGGTTGGGGATTTTGACTGGGCTGTGCCAACGCTCCCGCTGGGACTTAAAGTTGAAGGTTTCTGGCTAGGGGGGTCTTGCCCCTCGGCTCAGAGTTAGACCGATCACCATCGTTGGGGTCAGGGAGGAATTTTACCCCATGGTTGGATTCACTAGAGGGTAGACTATGGATCTGTATGGGAGGGTTTGGATAGGGAAGATCCTGCCTCCGGCAGGGGGTTGGACTCGATGACTCTGGAGGTCCCGTCCAGCCCCACTTCTCTGATTCTGCGATTCTAGTACATTTATTTCCCTTCCAATATGTAATGATATGTATCAGCATAAGAAGCATAAAGACATCTTTATACTCAAACGACTTCATTCTCAAAGGTTCTTGACTTTACCATTATGGTTAAAATGCTGCAACGTGAATAAAGGAAATTGGGAATAATCATTTTGAAACTTTTTTTTTTTTTATTCTGGAAGTAGAGTGTTTTGAGCAGAGGTTTACTAACACAGGGCAGTCAGACAGGGACAAGAGTTGTGGTAAGGCTGGTAGGAATCAATATAATGTAACCCGTTTTCCAGATCTGTCTGGAAAACCTGCACTCTCGGTTGTGTCTTCCTGTCTCAACAGCCAGAGTGATAAGCCAGTGAGCCTCCCAAATCAGACACGCAGAGCTGCATTGCTTGTCCTGCGAGTTTTGCAAGGTATCTCAAAGCCTTGGCAGGGCAGAGGGGTTACAACTGGCAGAGGTATCATTTTAGTCCCACTGCCAGCTTTGCAGAGGATGATGCCCAGTGGAATGGGTACGAGGGCAATTAAAAGGTGGTTCAGTCCCAGCTCTGTCTTGGGCACCCCCCAGTCGCCATCTGGATTTGGGAATGAGCAGGGGATTTTTGAAGGTGGTTTTTGACACAACCACATTGCCTGGGGCAGGGACGGGCAATCTGCAGCATGGGTCCCACAAGTGGCACGGCCAGCTTCTGTGTGGCACGGGCAGATTGGGGCGGTGGCACAGCAGCAGACAGGGCAGGGAGCAGAAAGCAAAGTAGCCAATCGAGTAGGAAGCACAAAGCAAAAAGCAGAGCAGCAGGGAAAAGGGATCAAAGTGGCGCTTGCAAAGAGCGCTGGGCTAAATCGTAACATGCCTGCCAGGAAGGTTGGTCCCCACTGGCCTGGCTCTGCAGGGGCCCACAGCAATTTTCCTGGGTGCTGAGAAACCCCCTGATAAGAGGGTGGAAGTGCTAGGAAAGGGAGTCCAAAGGTATGAAATACAGAGGTGGGAAAGATGCGGCGGTTGCAGGGGGAACTGCTGCAAGGAAGAACGATTTCTGCTGCCTGCTTCAGGGACAGTACTGGCTTTGCTTTGTGAGCGACTTGCATAATGAAAGATGCCCTGCAGCCAAGGGCTGCTATGGTGTAGCACTGGCTTTTCTCTCCCTGCACTGATGTGATGCATATTTTCATATGCCAATAAACAAATGACATGCCTACTAAGGAAGCTGGGATGGTGAGGGGTGAGCAATGGGAAGGCAAGCTGTTTTCAGACCCCGCTGGAAAGCAGCTGCCAGGCTGGAGCAGGTGGCACGGCATTAAGAAGGAGGGTTTCCAGCCACACGACCTTGGAGACTGCCCCTTGTGCTGATGGTGACCCCTTCTTGTCCTCCAAGGAGGCAAGGCCCCAGGAATCTCTTCCCCAGCGCGGAGCAGGGGCTGGGGCATCCTGACTACCCAGCCTCGATCCCCAGCTGCAATCCGGGCAGGCAAGGAGTCCACCAGACGGAGGTGTTTTCTCATCGTCAGACTTTGACGCCTCCAGAAGAAGTGGCCTGTGCACCTGTCTGCAAGCAGCAGGTTGTGTCTCTGCCCCAGCTCAAACACCACCCCCTCAGGCGCTTTGCAGCCACCGCATGAAGCATGAGGGCAACGGCCGCTGCGGGGGCTCTGGCAGGCAGCAGGTGGGACAGTGTCTTGGTGCTCCCAGCTTTCACGCACCGGTTCTGCTCCTTCAAAGGGGACCTAGAGCCTGAGCCCTGCTCCTGCCCCCTTCCCCTCCTCTTCTTCCCCCCTCGGGTCCTCTTCCAACCCTCCCAGCCAAAGCCATCGACCCCTTACTGGATTTTATAACAGTGCAAGGGGAGGAAAAAACCCATCACACGCACAAATGGAAAGAGCTCTTTATCCTCCACACGACCTCCAATTATTTTATGCACCAGGACCGAGGCTATGATTGTGCCACAGCTATTTTTCATAAATCTCATGGAGTTGGGGCAGAAAGGGCAGCATCCAGGGGAAATGTTACCAGGCCTGTTTCCAGCCGCCAGCTCCTAATCTCACCAAGCGTATCGTCCCGCGCTGGACATGGGGAATTGCTGTTTGGATGGTTAATGCCCCCGTTCTCCTGGTCCCTGGGTCTCCCCTGGTGCAATGGGTTCTCCCCTCTGCCTAAACGGCAAGATGAAGCTATGGAGGTCTTTTTCAGTGCCTGGGAGCCCCGGGCCAAAATCCCAGTCCAAGCCATGATAGCTGGAGAAAGAGAGAGGGCGTAGCACCTGGGGAGAGTTTGAGTGTCTCCTGCAAGATATGCAGAAGGAACAGGCCTTGCTACCAACCCGCCCTTGCCACCCCCAGGGCTACAGGGCAGAGGTGTCAAAGATATGGGCTGCATGCTGAAGCCGGCCTGTGACACCCCATCATTCGACCTTCGGTGCTGGGCCCGGGTCTTGAGTTGACCCATAAGCCACACATGGTATGCACAGAGCCTGGGACATGCAACTCCCACTCAATGACCCACGCTACATGCAGCACTTGTACAGGACCAGTTTAGGCCCCCCTGCCCCCTCTGTTCACCAGATCCAGCACCCTCATCCCCAGCTCTGCCCAGTCCAGGATGCAAACTGCTAGGAGCTGGGACTTGTCGGCGAAGCACTTGGGGCAGTGGGCGCGCAGGTGCAGGCGCTCCCTGGAGCGGGCGCGCTGGTGGGCAAGGACACTGGCCCTCTGGGTGAAGCGCTTGCCGCACGTGGCACACGGGTACGGCCTCTCGCCCGCGTGTGTCCGCTCGTGCTGGGCCAGCTGGGACCTCATGAAGATGCACTTGGGGCAGCAGCCGCATGGGAGTGGCCACTCGCCCCGGTGGCTGCGCTGGTGCTTGCTGAGGTTGCCTTTCCTGCTGAAGCCCTTCCCGCAGCCGGGGCAGACGTGTGCCATCCTTCTTCTCAAGCCTCCCTCGGTGCTGGAGGGAGCTCCTTGCCAGCTTTCCAAACCTCTCTTCCGCTCACATCTTTCCCCACCATTGGAGCAAGGGCCTGGTCTTTCTGTTGCCTCTAGTTTTGCATTTTCCATTGCTGCAATGCCCTCCCTCCCATTTGCTACATGGACAGCATGGCTTTGCTCTCAGCTTCGCCTGGCATGCCAGGCTGGGCTGGACGCTTCGTTGGCAGGGAGTAGCTTGGTCACATGTGTTTTCTGCCAGGTTGTCTTCTTTGTTGGCCTTTTACTCGCTCGTGGAGGTTTTCAGCCGGACTTGGCGTACTCTCACTTCTCCTTCTGTGTTTCATTTCCCAGTTGGGTTCCTATTTTTGGCATGCTCCTCTCAATGCTTCTCCTTATTTTTTTTTAAAAATCGTCAGGCTTTAATCTGTTGCATGAATACCAAAATGCAATCAGACATTGGTTCAGGGGCTGCTGCCCAAGAATAATCCATATTTAGACATTTTGGGGGAAAATCTCAGAGTGGTCATAAATGACGAGCCGTAGCTGGAGCCATTGCCGTGTAGATGAGCACTAGGCATCGGGACTCCTGGCTTCTCTTTGCAACTTTGCTGCTTACTTGCTTTGTATTGTGCAGGTCACTTTTCTTCTTGCTGCCTTTGCTTCCCTCTCCAGAGCAGAAACAAGGCAGAGAGAGGGGGAGAAAAGGTGGTCTTTATTATAACTTGCAGATTAGTAACTGAAGCAAAGAAAGATTAAGGCTGAAATCTGGGCCCCACTGAAGTTAACGGGAGCTTTGCAGCTGTTGTCAATGGAGTCGCCACTTCCCCTCCACACGGCTTACCCAGTTGCAAGCAAAGTCCAGGAACTGAGAGCTGAACTAGGATCCCTAGAGCCCAGCAAAACCATATCCCTCTATAATATGAGAAGTCTCAAAAGACCTTTGTTCATGTTTTACTGAGTCCTTCAGCATTTCACACACAGCCCAAAAGTGCCTGGAGTTTGCAAGCTGGAACAGTGCGGGCAGAAGAGGCAACCTGTATTTCACAAGCCTTGCTGCTTTCCTCGGTCCCAGACAAACCTGTTGCTCTTTGCTATATAATTAACATTACCAAGCTTTGCCTAGTCTTTTCTGGGGCTGATTGTCTTTTTTTTATTTGCTAACAGCCAGCTTCTTTCTTCTTGCCTGTCACCCCCCTCTGTACATGGAAAAGGGCACCGTTATTCACACCAGAGAGCAGTTGTTCCTCCTGTCTGTTCACCCATTTTCCATATCAAATGGTTCAGACAGGTTTAAAGGCCAATATTTAAAGCAAATCTATTTGAATAGTTAATGTTTCTGGTCTGTTGTGTGAATCAGCAAATCAAAAAAAAAATCATTCTTCGGTTCACTTGAGATGAAATGAAGCAAAACAACAAAAAACAGCCCCTTATTCCCCATGAAAGAGATAGAGGGGCAAGCGTTTCCAAATTTTGTTTTTACATGTGCTATACCTTTATCATGCAAAGGTAATAAAATGAACCTATTTTGTTTTGGTATCTCTTGAATTTAATTTTTTGAAAGTATTCCTCCTCCCCCCTGCACACACTTTTAGCTAAAGTTGTTAGTGAATTCACAGTGAATTGGGTATTTCAGATCTGAAATGGCATTTTTACTGAATTGAATATTGGCTAACGCTATTTATATCTGCTTCTGATTTAACACCCAGCTAACACCAGTGAAGCGTTCAGTCCTTAGACTTTCAGGGACTTTTTGTATTTCGAAAGCAATTGTGACTAGCCCCTATGTGGTTTTGAAGGAGTGGAAACAGGATTAAATTGCTATTTGAAGGGAAAATACTTTAGCTTCAGCCTGTGGGTGAAAGTACCATTCCAACACCCTGCTATACCATCATGATTGATGGCCAGGGAGCGGAAATATCCATGGCAGGTATCCCACGTGCAAGCCCAGCGGCCTTGGGGTTCAGATGCCCCCTAGTCTTGCTTGTCTCTAGCCAAGAGGCCATAGGAGCAAGCTAAAGGGAGAGCTCAAGAGCAGTCTCCCATCACCATAAATTGTGTAGCCACGAGCCTCTCATTGGGGGGCTCTAGTAGACTGTCCCAGGGGTGCCTGCCCACCATGCAGTGGGCAGGTCTCCATCCTCAACTACACCAGGCTGGGAAGAAGGGGATCTCCCCTGCCAGGTATAAAAAACCACCTGGACCAAAACCATCATCATGGTATCTCCCCTGCCAGGTAATGGGGCATTGTGTGGCCTGACTCTATGGGTTAGACTGCTCTGCATTACCCCTTTTGTGAATCCTACCTCTCAAAATGTAGCTGGCAAGAAGAGGAGACAGCCTCTCTACCTCTCAGCTTTACCCCTCTAGGCTGCCAGTACAGTGGCATGGCCAGAGGACAAGTCTCCTCTAATGATTCCTGAGGTCTGGTCCTTAAGGCCCATTTGCAGCTGATGTAACAGAGGTGCTCCCTGTGGTTTTCGCTGTTGATGCATCAAAAAGCAGTCTGAAAATACACAGGGGCACAGCTGGGCTTTATATGCAAACACACCCGGCCAAACTACATATATACATACGGCTGCTCTGACCAGCTCCTCGAAGCTTCTCCCACCTAGAAGACAGTGAGCTGCAGGAGAGGGGCTCACAGACAATTTAAAAGGACACAATCCTGTTCCTACATGCTGCAATACTCCTTGTCTGTAGCCAAGTTTCTAAGTGGAAAACAAGGCTCTTGCCTTGCAAATGTGTATGCACATACTTACCATTACCACTAGCAGGTTACAGAGATTACATTTTTACCAGTATAAGTGATTGGAAACCAGCCTGTATCCATAACAGAACAGAAGGTCAGCACACATAGACTGGTTTAAAAATGGTGGAACTTGGTCTAAGATTTGCACCCCGTCCCCTCCAAGGGCGCATGTATGTCATGTTCGCTGCTGATCTAAACTACGCTGCTTATAGAAAACCATGTGACATCGCTTGATTCCACCTTGGGCTTTTTGAATGTCTGTACCTAGCCTAGGCAGACAAGGTTATTTGAGTAACTGTGCTATCTTTTATTGGACCAACTGAATAGTTGGAAAAATTGTTCTTTGTGAGCTTTTGGGGACAGGCGCCCTTCCTCAGGCATAGGGAGAGTCTGCTGGTCTGTTCCTTCTCTCTAGTGTTCGAATACAGGCTTAAGCCAATATGCAAAAAGAAGGTCTGTGAAAATGTAAATGCATGACAGGGAAGATCAGAGGAGATAAGAGTTAATAGGTGTGAGACCAGCTGAGGGGGGATACCAAGGGAATGTCGACAGGTGATAAAATGCACCTGGGACAGTATAAAGATGTCACCTGGGATTATCGGATGGCAGGCAGGTTATATAATGTGCCATAAAGCGAATGGCAATATTTAGTCCATGGTTTTTTATATCCACTAGATTTATGAAGTGAAGTTCGTAGGCTCGTCTATGAAAGGTGCTTTGTAAATTCCCTTTGAGGATCAGAACTGAGAGTCTGGCGAGAGAGTGGTTGTCTTGTGAGAAGTCTGCCCCCACAGGTAACTGGGTATTTTTGTCTTTCTACCTAGCTTAGGAGCAGCTACATTGATTTCAGAAACAGGGCCTGAAAGGCCAACTCTGACAGCTGCAGAGAAAAGCTGCTGCTCATGATAATTAGTAGCAGCCAATGAGCACTGAAGCTGTATTCAAGCATGCCAATATGCTGTTACCTTTAAAAAATGTTCTTTGCTTTAAAATCCAGATACTTTGTCTTACTGACATTTGTGTAGATACAACCCTTGTAAATAAAATATAGCTCTGCAGGTGAACCTTCAAGGGCTTGTACACACACACACACACACACACACACACACACGCACGCACGCACTCACACAGTATACAGCAGTCTGGACGTGCCAGTATAACTATGCCAATATAAGTTCCCTTGTGGACACCCTTATTCTGGAATAAAAGCAACTTCATTATAAAGTGATGTCTGGCATACTTATAGCAGCATAATTGTGTCGCTTCACAATGTACGTTCCACTTTCCCCAAGTGAACAAGCATGAAAAGTTGGAGAAATCCTACAAATCAACGGGATTTCTCCTTTTGTTAACGTTTGGCAGGCTGTTAGTTGTTTTCCCGAATCAGGACACGTATGGAAGTTATGACACTAATATCCAACCTTAGTAATAATACTTTACTCATCCAACCAGCTGAAGACAAACAAGCACAGTGACACTAAACCTGAGAAAATACAGTAGCTGCATGGAGCAAAACAGTGCATTAATGGATCTGTGCTGTCAGCAAAGAGAAACCAAGACCGTTAGGAAAAATACATGCACCCGAGCATCCTCACTACAATAAGCTGCAGTGCTGAAGATGGACCGGGCCCATTCAGTTCATGCAGTTTTTAAAGTTAAACTTGGAAAGCTGATTTCCTTCACCACAGGGGAATGCTGACATGGCAGATGTTAAACAGAATGAAGCTGGTGCCTGGCTGGGAATTGCAGGCATTAGGAAGCAGCAGCCAGGCACTGCGCTTTAAACTGCCCGGGCTGCTGTTCCTGGATCCCTCCCTGCTCCCCTTTTAATAGGATGCTAGGGAAGGAAGCAATCTCCCTGGAGCACCAGGCAAAGAGATCACCGCGCAGCAGTGGGTGTGATTTGCCCTGCAGCACTTCCCCTGTGCAAATGTGAAGCAGAGGAGGGGGCTTTGAGAGAGGGGAGTCAGGGACCTCATCCGCAGCCTGGCAGTATAGGGTTAACCCTTTTGGCATTGGGAGAGGCACAGCTGGCTGCAGTCAGGGCAAAGGCAGGTGACTGCCTGGGAGCCTGTATTATGGCAGGCTCTGGACTTAGCATGAGGGAGGCTGGATTAGGGGCTGGTGTGTT